TTATCAGCAATCAAAGCCAGGCTCCAAAGTTATTGTGAAACTGTCTATTCTAGAGGTGGCGTGAATCAGATGTGGATACTAAATAATTCCAAAGATCTTTTAGAGTACATACAATCATGACAATCTAAGACTCTCTCATCTTGCAATAGTATTAAAGCATTTGACTTTTCAACACTTTACACAAGTATTCCCCATTCCAAACTAAAAGACAAATTGAAAGAGTTGGTATTACTTTGTTTCATTAAAAAGAATGGCGAACGTAGATACAAGTATCTTGTCTTTGGGAGGGATAAATCCTACTTTGTAAAGAATCACTCTGATTCAAACAAAATATTCTCTGAAACTGACATTATCAAGATGCTTGATTTCTTGATTGACAACATATTTGTTACGTTTGGAGGACGTGTTTTTCAACAGACTGTCAGAATTCCAATGGGAACCAATTGTGCCCCTCTTCTTGCCGACTTGTTTCTTTATTATTACGAGGCTGACTTCATACAGGAACTTCTTAGGAAGAAAGATAAGAAGTTAGCAATATCCTTTAACTCTACGTTCCGCTATATAGATGATGTTCTCTCACTAAATAATACAAAATTTGGTGACTATGTTGAACGAATCTATCCCATCGAACTAGAGATAAAGGATACTACAGATACAGTTAAGTCTGCCTCATATCTTGACTTACATCTAGAAATTGACAATGAGGGTCGGTTGAAAACCAAACTTTACGACAAAAGAGATGATTTCAGCTTCCCAATTGTGAACTTTCCATTTCTATGTAGCAACATTCCAGCAGTGCCTGCATACGGAGTACATATCTCCCAATTGATACAATATTCCCGGGCTTGTGTTTCCTATCATGATTTCCTTGATAAAGGATTGCTGCTCAAAAGGAAGCTATTAAGCCAAGAGTTCCAACTGGTGAAGTTGAAATCATCCCTTCGTAAATTTTACGGACGCCATCACGAGTTGGTTGACCGTTATGGAATAACCGTTTCACAGATGATATCGGATATGTTCCTTATGTCGTAACTACAATACCCTTCCCTTTTCACGAATATGACTTACCGAATTAGACTATTTACCGGATTTGTAATAACATAAGCAACACGACAGGTGACACATGTGGAGCAGGATCTGCTTACCCTTCCGGAGCACCTGAGATCACCCCCAGTTTTTGGTGGGGTTCGTGTTGCTTAGTCTTTAGTTTTCTATGTTGTGTCATCTGTACTATTATTTGTCTGTTTGTCTTTTTATTTTTGGCCATGGAGTTGTCAGTTTGTTTTCGATCTATGAGTTTGACTGTCCCTCTGGTATCTTTCGTCCCTCTTTTACACATCCTGTTTGGTGTGTATCTCCTACCATATCATTATTATTTGCTTTTAAATATAAATCAGAAATAACCAACTTAAAATGGAAAATATTAAAAGAAAAAAAAAGGAAAAAAAGACTAGAGGCTCTAAAGAGCCTGTGTCGCTCACCTTGGTCAATGTGCATATTAAACAAAGGACACAGATGGATTCATGACAAAATTGTGTTTTGGTGATGGTGATGTGTTTGTTGATCTTACTTTACTGAACATTCTTGCTGCTTACAATTATCTCTATCTATAATGAACTTGGCCCAGTAGTTACAGTGGAAAATATTTTGTAAAAATTTACAAAAATTTACAAAATTTATGAAAATTGTAAAAAATTGACTATAAAGGGCAATAACTCCTTAAGGGGTCAATTGACAATTTTGGTTATGTTGACTTATTTGTAGATCTTACTTTGCTGTACATTATTGCTGTTTACAGTTTATCTCTATCTATAATAATATTCAAGATAATAACCAAAAGCTGCAAAATTTTCTTAAAATTACCAATTCAGGGGCAGCAACCCAACAACTTGTTGCCTGATTGGTCTGAAAATTTCAGGGCAGATAGATCTTGACCTAATAAACAATTTTATCCCGTCAGATTTGCTCTAAATGCTTTGGTTTCAGAGATATGAGCCAAAAACTGCATTTTACCCTATGTACTATTTTTTAGCCATGTCAGCCATCTTGGTTCGCAGGCGGGGTCATTGGACACATTTTTTAAACTAGATACCCTAATGATGATTGTGGACAAGTTTGGTTAAATTTGTCTTAGTAGTTTCAGAGGAGAAGATTTTTGTAAAAGTTAACGACGACGGACGATGACGACGACTGACGACGGACGCCAAGTGATGAGAAAAGCTCACTTGGCCCTTTGGGCCAGGTGAGCTAAAAAAAAAAGGAAACCCCCCCCCCCCCCCCCCAATTTTTTGAACCCCATTATGATTCATCACCCCCAAACTCAATCCCAGCCTTCCCTTTGTGGTATGGTACCTTGCAGTACAATTTCAGAGAGATCCATACACATGCACACAAGTTATTGTCTGGAAACTAGAAAAATGTGTTTTTTGGCTCCTTTTTGGCCCCAAATTCCTAAAAGTTTAGGGCAATTACCCCCAAACTCAAACCCAGCTTTCCCTTTGTGATATGGAACCTTGTAGTACAATTTCAGAAAGATCCATACACTTACACACAAGTTATTGTCCTGAAACCAGAAAAATGCTTGTTTTTTGCCCTTTTTTGGCCCCTAATTCCTAAAATATTGAGGCAATTACCCCCATCATCAATCCCAGCCTTCCCTTTGTGGTATGGTACCTTACAGTACAATTTCAGAGAGATCCATACACTTGAACCCAAGTTATTGTCTGGAAACTAGAAAAATGCTTATTTTTGGCCCCTTTTTGGCCCCCAATTCCTAAACGTTTTGGGCAATTACCCCCAAACTCAATTCCAGCTTTCCCTTTGTGATATGGAACCTATCAGTACAATTTCAGAAATATCCAAACACTAACACACAAATCATTGTCATGAAACTAGAAAAATGCTTGTTTTTGCCCCTTTTTTGGCCCCTAATTCCTAAAATTTGGAGGCAATTACCCCCAAAATCAATTCCAGCCTTCCCTTTGTGATATGGAACCTTGTGGTACAATTTCAGAGAGATCCATACACTTACACACAAGTTATTGTCTGGAAGTTACAAAAATGCTTATTTTAGGCCCCTTTTTGGCCCATAATTCCTTAACTGTTGGTACCATAACCCCCAAAATCAATCCCAACCTTCCTTTTGTGGTATTGAACCTTATGGTAAAATTTCATAGAGATCCATTCACTTAAACTTAAGTTAGAGTGCAAAAAACAATGTGTCTTCGGACGACGACGTTGGACGATGACGACAACGTCATACCAATATCATGAATATACGACCACAAAATGTTTGCGGTCGTATAAAAATGCTTGTTTTTTTGCCCCTTTTTTGGCCCTTATTCCTAAAACTTTGAGGCAATTACCCCCAAAATCAATCCCAGCATTCCCTTTGTGATATGGAACCTTGTGGTACAATGTCAGAGAGATCCATACACTAACACACAAGTTTTGTCTGGAAGTTACAAAAATGCTTATTTTTGGCCCCTAATTCCTTAACTGTTGGTACCATAACCCCCAAAATCAATCCCAACCTTCCTTTAGTGGTATTGAACCTTATGGTAAAATTTCGTAGAGATCCATTCACTTAAACTAAAGTTACAGTGCGAAAACCAATGTGTCTTTGTCAACGTCATACCAAAAATTTTTTTGCACTCGTATAAAAATGACATCTAAAGGTTGAAATTTTTTCCGTTTGTTGTAAAATCATATTTATAGATTATAGGTTGGATTGGCCTATTTTTATTGTCACTTTTTAAAGTGAAAAGTGGAATTTAAATCTCCTTCTCATTACAAACGGAAACCACATACAGGGCTCAAATATATTATACTGTTCCTATTAAAATTGCTTACTCCTATTTATATGTGCAATATTTGTATTAAAATCGGGGTGTGTTTTGCTTAGTAATTGTCTTCAGGTGGCATAAACATATGACGTCGTGAAAATATGTACAATAGGTTCCACAATCAGAACTACAAAAGTAGGCCCTTTCACAGCTTTTGCTGCCATATTGAAATTTAGGTGTAAACACGAAATTTAGAAAAGTTCAAAACAATGTGGCTATATTTTTATGAGACCCAGGATACCTTTTGTTATAGGTATTAATTATGAACTGAAATTGCCAACATTGTTTTTATTGCACACTTATTGTTTTTATTAGGATTAATTATGATCTGTTAACCTTCGACACATTGTTTTCTTAGCGGTCAAGTAAAGCGTCAGCATTTCGACTAAATTTGTTTTATTTTCAACACTAATATATTGACTACTTATTAATAATTTTTCGTAAACAGTAAAAAATTGACTAGTTATTAATAATTTTTCGTAAACAATAAGAAAAGTATTTATCTTTCAAAACTACTTCGACGATTAAGTTGAAAATTTTATAAAGAAGAACTTGTCCCAGTTTTAATCCGCATTAGTTTATCCCCGTACGAAAACATTTATTTCAAGTCAATGTATTTAATTTGTTAAAATAGTTTAATTATTCATATATTTTTATTTTTTGCATTTAATTATTTTTTTTAAATTTCAAATCCACCAATTGTAAGGGTATATGCTGACTTGTTCACCGAAATCTATTGTTTACATGCATCAAAGGCTAATTAACAACGTGGCACGATAAGCTGTCAATCAAAACAAAAAATCAATAATCCCCTATCGGGGCAATGAAATCTCAACAGATTGATCAGTTTCCAGAACCGTTAGTATGATAGTCCCAGCCTATACACAGTGATACATGCTACATGTTTAGCGCAATTCACCACATGCACAATAGGACATAGATCTGCGGCTTGAATAGATTTGACACTATCAAATATAATCATAGCAAGGATTTATTTAGTAATACTTCTATATATATGAATCCTTGAATCGGCTTGATCATAAAAATACATGTGCATGTTAATTGTTATGCAAGGTTCAGCAACTTTCAGTTTCTGATAATTTTTGCATCTGAAATTGATGTTTAGAGACGGTTTTGAAAGGTTGGGTAGGTTACCATCATGATCAAGTGGAAAGCTCCCTTTATCTGGAGGTTTCCGTCCTAATCTTGTTTGCATAAACCCTGCCATTTCAATTTCTTTTAAACAAGGTACCAGTTACAGTTAAGAAACCAGTTTCAAACCATTAGTGTGTGTTCGAAAATACTACTTTGAATTCAAAACGGAATTGATAATAATATGTAATATTCTCTTGAACAGCAATATTCAATGTGTAAGATTTGTTTAAGAAAAATGAAATTGAATACGTTGTTTTTACTTATGATGATCTACAGTTCAAGTTATAGGTCAAATACATTTTTTGAAGCTTTTAAGAGGAATGCAATTTTTTCGAACCTCCCTATTTTTCTTCAGACGACTTCCGGTTAGAATTTTAAAGTAAAAAAGTTTAGGTATTCAGCAAGACAACAACTACACAATACTGATTTGTACTTCCTTCCTCATATTTATGTGTAAGCTATCTTATGTGATAAAGAATGATAAATTTTGAACAGAAAGACAGTCCTCTATCAATGTGTATGCATTGACCATATTTTATTATTATTGATAGACATGATAGAACGTCTGGCTGTCTAGTGCCTGTTGTCAGTTTCTACCTTAATTTATGAACTCATTTACGGTGTCTGTTTGATTTATTCCATAACTTTCGGTAATCAGATATATACAAACTTAGGCTTCTTATGCTAAACTGAGAAACGAAATCGAAACACATTATGAATGAAGCGAAAAGTTGACAAAACAAAATGAAACAAAAAATGAAATGATTTTTAAACAAAACTAAATATATGATGTTTGATAGACTTTCATCTAAAAGTTCTCAAACGTAAAACATGAGTGACATTCTCCAAAAAGGTAATGGTTCATGGAAATCTTAGTAGGAAAGGATAATTTTGTATATAATTCAATGAACTAAAAATAACAATAAAAACTATAATCATGTGATAATCTCGAGGTAAATACAGTAGCGGTCTCACTAATTAGCGACAAGAAGAATTTTAGCGACAAGAAGCGACACGAAGAAAAAATTTAGCGACAAGAAAACTTAATAAAAATATTATTAAAATAAATATATTAAAAAATATGCATTGACATTTTTGTCGAGCCTTCGACTTTTGTCGAAAAAGCGAGACATAGCGATCCTACATTCCGTCGGCGTGGTCATCGGCGTCGTCGGCGACGGCGGCGTCCACAAATATTCACTCTGTGGTTAAAGTTTTTGAAATTTTAATAACTTTCTTAAACTGTCCTGGATTTCTACCAAACTTGGACAGAAGCTTGTTTATGATCATAAGATTATATTCAAAAGTAAATTTTGTAAAAAAAAAATTCCATTTTTTCCGTATTTTACTTATAAGTGGACTTAGTTTTTCTGCCAGGAAACATTACATTCACTCTGTGGTTAAAGTTTTTGAAATTTTAATAACTTTCTTAAACTATCCTGGATTTCTACCAAACTTGGAAAGAAGCTTGTTTATGATCATAAGATAGTATCCAGGAGTAAATTTTTTTTTAAAAAATTCTATTTTTCCATATTTTACTTATAAATGGACTTAGTTTTTCTGCCAGTTAACATTACATTCACTCTGTGGTTAAAGTTTTAAAATTTTAATAACTTTCTTAAACTATCCTGGATTTCTACCAAACTTGGAAAGAAGCTTGTTTATGATCATAAGATAGTATCCAGAAGTAAATTTTGTAAAAAAAAAATCCATTTTTCCGTATTTTACTTTTAAATGGACTTAGTTTTTCTGCCAGGAAACATTACATTCACTCTGTGGTTAAAGTTTTTAAATTTTAACAACTTTCTTAAACTATCCTGGATTTGTACCACACTTGGACAGAAGCTTGTTTATGATCAAAAGCTAGTATCTAGAAGGAAATTTTGATAAAATTTTGTTCCATTTTTTCCGTATTTTGCTTATAAATGGACTTAGTTTTTCTTCCAGTCAACATTACATACATTCTGCAGTTTAAGTTTTTAAAACATTTATTAGATTCATAAATTATCCTGGATTTTTACCAAACTTGGACAGAAGCTACTTACAATCAAAAGATAGTATAGAGAGGAATATTTTTATTAATTTTTTTCCTCATTTTTGTTGAGCCTGCGATTAACACCAAAAGTAGGCGAGACACTGGGTTCAGCGGAACCCTTACAAATTTTTATTTTAATATACGGAAAGTAAAGTGATTTTCATTTTTTTTAAATATATATTGATAGATATTGATAAATATAGAAATTTCCCTGTCATAGTATGATATTAATTTTTACATGTTCTTGTGTTTTAGAACAATAATATATTTATTTTATAAATTTCTTAACACTCTCTTTGTCTAAAATATAATAAACTGACTGCATGCAAAATGCATTATAAGTGAATCAGTGTCCAGAAAAGATAATGATACTAAAACGTGAATATTTTATTTGGGTATTGACTTATCAAACGATATGTATGATGTTTATGCATAGTTTAAAGTTGATTGAAGATTAAAGGTAATTAACGACAATGTTGAGCATGTTGAGTGTTCAACAGTTGCTCACTATTTACAATTATTGTATATTCTGGCGCGTGAAGTTGTATAGTCTGACGCGTGTACAAAGTTATAGGTGTTAATTGAATGTTATCATGGTTATTGTAGCAATACAAAAAGGGACACACGTCCTTTACTCCAACCATCATTCTAATTTGTTCATCCTTAAGCGTCATTATATATGCTTCTATGAAAAGAAGTAATTCTTACAAGAAAATAATCCGCTGGTTTGAAAAAATGCCTGGCCATTCTCTTGAAACCATGAATAAAGCAATAGCAGAATACATAGGTACCTATCCTATTAAAAACAAACAGAATATTGCTGATGATATATGCAAGCTGTCATCAATATTAATTCTTTGAAAGAAATTGTTCAGATCACAGGCAAACCTCCAAATGTTATCTTGACTAATTTCTTCATCTATCAATATAATAAAAAAAATATGAAAATCTCTTAAATTTATTGCTGTCAATGCATATTTTTTTTAATATATTTATTCTTATAATATTTTTTTTCAGTTTTCTTGTTGCTAAATAGTCTTAAAGCACAAAAATGTCAGTATTCACCTCTGAAGCTAACAAAACCTTTAAATAGACTTATTAAGAAGGGATATAGTTACGATACTGTTGTCAGGTCATTAAAGATTGCATAATTTGGCGTTAATATTGATTCACTTATAGGGTCTTTGCATAGGCACTAAACACATTTATTTAATAACCAGTTGTTGGCATGACACGGGTTGTGTTCTTCTCATATATGTTATGATGGTATGATACTAATCCCCTAACGGGAAGGATTGTGCCTGATATTCATATGATGAAGACATAATCTTTCAATCAGTTTAATTAAAGTCTGGAGCTGGCATGTCAGTTAACTGCTAGTAGTCTGTTGTTATTTATGTATTATTGTCATTTTGTTTATTTTCTTTGGTTACATCTTCTGACATCAGACTCAGACTTCTTTTGAACTGAATTTTAATGTGCGTATTGTTATGCGTTTACTTTTCTACATTGGCTAGAGGTATAGGGGGAGGGTTGAGATCTCATTAACATGTTTAACCCCGCAGCATTTTTGCACCTGTCCCAAGTCAGGAGCCTCTAGCCTTTGTCAGTCTTGTATTATTTTTAATTTTAGTTTCTTGTGTACAATTTGGAGTTTAGTATGGCGTTCATTATCACTGAACTAGTATATATATTTGTTTAGGGGCCAGCTGAAGGACGCCTCCGGGTGCGGGAATTTCTCGCTGCATTGAAGACCTGTTGGTGACCTTCTGCTGTTGTCTGTTCTATGGTCAGGTTGTTGTCTCTTTGACACATTCCCCATTTCCATTCTCAATTTTATTCTTGTCGCTTCTTGTCGCTAAATTTATTCTTCTTGACGCTTCTTGTTGCTACTTGACGCTTCTTGTCGCTAATTAGTGAGACCCTACAGGAGAAATAAAAAAAGTGATAACAGTCAACTAAAACAACAGAAAGTTGATAATTAAGCAACACACACCCCAAAAAACCCAAAGGAAGAAGAAAAAGAAAGGTGGAATTATATGTTCCTGAAAGACCAGCTGTTCTTAATCCACTAGCCTCATCCATCGAGTCACTCTTGTTGTAAACAAACCTGTGATGAGTCCAAATCCTGTAAAATTAAGCGTTTTAAAATAGTCAATTGTTTGATTTCTAAACACAACTTTACCAAATGCATTAACCTTTGTGGCACAAGGCTGTGTTAACTAACTACTTAAAAGCTTAATATTTTAGAAGGTAGAAGTCCTGGATGCTTCATACTTTATGTATATAGATACCTTATAATATGAAGTTTCTGTCTGTGATATGTCCATTTTCCTTGACCTCATTTTCATGGTTCAGTGACTACCTAAAAATAGATTTTTTTGTATTTGTTAATTTCTCTCTTATTATGATTATGAGTAATAGGATACAGTAACTATATTTAGTATGTGCATACATTTCAAGGTCCTCCTGCCTGTGAGACAGTTTTCACTTGATCTTGACCTGATTTCATGGATCAGTGAACAAGGTAAAGTTTTAGTGGTCAAGTCCATATCTCAGATACTATAAGCAATAGATCTACTATATTTGGTGTATGAAAGGTTTGTAAGGCAGGGGTAATGCATGTACTACTTATAATACAAGTGATTTTTATTTACTTGTACAGGTAAATTATCTAGGAGGTAGAGTTATATCCCTTAGACATTCAGATTTTTTTTTACTTATAGAAGTAAAAAAAGTCTTATATTCTTCTTTTCTTGAATTTCTTTTGACTAAATTGCCATAATTACCGGTAAGTGTTTTATTGTCTGTCATTAATAGCTATCTTTACTATTCATAAGAGTATAATTTCATGGACAATGAAAATCTCCTTTGTCTGTTTTCTGCAAAATACTGCTCATTTACAAGCCTGCAGGGAACAAATTTTGAAGTCCTTGCACAGTTACTTAACATAGTGTGCAATAGATTCTTTGTTTAGTTTTTGAGGTAAAAGGTTGAACTCTAATTAGAAATTAATTAACTACCCAGAAAAAATCTGCTTAGTCATGTTTTGACCTTACAAAACTTGAGAATTTAACAGTGTTTAAGGGGTTGTAAAACAAATTTGTATAAGTAATTTTTTGGAGAAGATTAAGGGGAGATAATTCAAACCTTGAAAATAAAATAAAAATCTTTCCAATTTCCCTATACACATGATACAAGTAAATATTACTTACATCTTCAAGTAATTGACCATTACTTGTATAAGTATTACCCCTGACTGTAAGGTGTACATGTCCAGCTGTTAGGTGTCATCTGACCTTGACCTCATTTTCATGGTTCAGTGGTAAAAGATAAGTTTTTGTGTTTTGGTCTGTTTTCTAAAACTGTATGTAGATATAGGAAGATGTGGTATGAGTGCCTGCACTGTTTCAATAATATTTGGTGTATGGAAATATTTTACAATGTACATGTCAGTCTTTATTTGTACATGTCAGGTTTTATTTGACCTTGACTTCATTTGCACGGTTCATTGGTCAATTTTTCGGAGTTTCGTCTGCTTCTTGTATACTATAAGCGATAGGTCAACTATAGTCTGCGTATGAATGATTGTTAGGTGTACATGTATTTCTGGCTTCGTTTGTCTGATCTTGACCATGTGTTGACCCCATATCTTGGATCATGTTTATGTTTATGTGATAATTGTAGAAAACTTTATATTTAGGACTATCAACATAAAATCAATGGTCAGTAAAGCAGGCGAGACATTTCAGCGTGTACTCTTCATGCTTTTGTGATTATGTTTTTAATCATGTTAATGGAAGAGAATGAAAAGGTGTAGTTATTAAGAATAGTTAGATAAAGAGTTTTGTTCTTAAGTTTGTCTGTCCTAGAAATATTTATAATCTCAGTTTATTTTAAAGTTTAGACTAATAAGATATATATGTGACCTAATAAACAGTTTGTCTATATATAGCTATAAGCTTTTACCTTTTCGGAGGATGTCAGTAACATTCCATTACGTTTGAGACCTTTTTGGAGTAAGTATATCAAACATGATGTATTTCGTTTCATTTCTTTTTGTCAAATTTTTGTTTCTGTTGTTTTGTTCTGTTCATTGTGTTTTGATTTTGTTTCACATTTTAGCACAACCCACAAGTTGCGGACAGTTATAATATATTCTTGGGTGTCAATAAAGGTCAAAACATATAGAGATGTAAAACAAAATTGATAAAAATGAAATCAAAATATTATAAATGATTAAGAAGTATATAGTTTTGCTTTTTAAAAAAAAGTGATCATTTGATGTCTCCCTTTTATTTTATTGAAATATCTATGATATTTCATAAATCATGAATTACAATGTAATAAATTGTTTTGCTTTTTTGGTGATCTTGTAGAGTGCTTTATATCAGGCCTAATTTTGTATAAATTTGTCATTTACCAGCCAAGTTAAAGTCATGGATTTTCAAAAAGGTGAGCACATAAACCATATATATGTAAACACATAAATTGCTTACATCCACTTCGTTTGAACTCTGGTTTATTAGTTGTCTCATTGGCAGTCATACCACATATCCATATTTTTATAATGAAATAAATTTCATTGCATACAATTATAAAAAAATCAACCGTTGGCAAATCAGTAAAAATTCCACTTTGAGTCTTTCTCCATATTTTTTCCTTAAACAATTATGACATGTATGAGTAAACATAGGGATAGTGATCCGGCGGCGGCGTTAGCTAACTTCTTAAAAGCTTTATATTTTAGAAGGTGGAAGACTTGGATGCTTCATACTTTGTATATGGATGCCTCATGTTACGAAGTTTCCGTCAGTCACATGTCCTATGTCCTTGACCTCATTTTCATGGTTCTGTGACTACTTGAAAATAAAGTTAACATTTTTTGTAATGTTAAATTCTCTCTTATTATAAGTAGTAGGATAAATATATTTGGTATGTGCGTACCTTGCAAGGTCCTCATGCCTGTCAGACAGTTTTCACTTGACCTCGACCTCATTTCATGGATCAGTGAATAAGGTTAAGTTTTGGTGGTCAAGTCCATATCTGAGATACTATTAGCAACAGGTCAAGTATATTCGGTGTATGGAAGGACTGTAAGGTGTACATGTCCAACTGGCAGGTGTCATCTGACCTTGACCTCATTTTCATGGGTCAGTGGTTATAGTTAAGTTTTTGTGTTTTGGTCTGTTTTTCTTATACTGTATGCAATAGGTCTACTATATTTGGTGTATGGAATGATTGTAAGATGTACATGTCTGCCTGGCAGGTGTCATTTGACCTTGACCTCATTTTCATGGTTCAGTGGTCAAAGTTATGATTTTGAGTTTTGGTCTTTTTTTCTAATACTATATGCAATAGGTCAACTATATTTGGTGTATGGAAATAATTTATGATCTATATGTCAGTCGCGCAGGTTTTATTTGACCTTGACCTCATTTTCACAGTTCATTGCTCAGTGTTAAGTTTTTGTGTTTTGGTCTGTTCTAAAACTATAAGCAATAGGTCAACTATATTTGTTGTATGTAAGAATCGTTAGCTGTACATGCCTGCCTGGCATGGTTCATCTGACCTTGACCTCATTTTCATGGTTCATTGGTCAATGTTTAGTTTTTTTGGTTAATGTTAAGTTTATGTGACAGTTGTAATAAAGCTTTATATTTAGGACTATCAACATAATATCAGTGATTAGTAAAGAAGGCGAGACATTTCAGCTTGTGCACTCTTGTTTTATTGAAATATGACCTAAAGTTATAAATATTCAGGATACTTTTCTTATTTTTTGTCTTTACTTCATAACAATCAATCAATCAATATTTCCCACTCAATTTTTCTTCCAGAAAATATTTGACCATCTGTCTGTCCAATTGTTGAGAAATTTTCCCATTGATCCACTTATAATACGACCCTTAATACCTCATGTACCTCCCCTGTTAATAAGTCATGAATTGACCTCATGTTTACTTCATTTATGTTTGGAATATCTCTTGATTTAGTTTGTCTGTCCAATATAAATACAATAGTCTCCAAACATATATGTCCTTTGTCCAACATATTTATTAAATCCCCTCAATAAGATTTTTTATTAAAAATTGAATTTTAAAATATTTAATGTATTTTGGTTTCTTGGAAAATTAATAAAGTTAGCCTGAAAACAAAATGTTCATGTTTAAATTACATTTAGATACTTCATGTACTTACAATGACTTATGTCCTCTAATATGTGTCTGTTTGTCTGACATTTTTGATTTTTTTCTTTCAATGTCAAGCTTGAACATTTTTTTAGTCCATTTACTGGAATTTTTATACATGTATATATTATATTTTACTTCAATTTAAGAAGATATTTTAGATTATTCCATTCAGAGCAAGAAAATTGTCACTTTTCAATGAATATATATGCATGTTCCTCCAACAGTGTAGACCACTACAAATATTTTGATCTTTTATTTCCTTGCTTATTGGTCAATCTTCAGACATGTTCACGTTTTAAGAATTGGGCTGAGCTTAAAGTTAAATGATTGATTTCAAAATATTTCAATGCTCTGAATTTAAGGAGAACTTGACACAGAGGGATACAAAATGTCTCAGTTGGTTCGACGTATATTTAAATATTTTCTTTATTTTCGTTCTTTTCAAACTTTATGATTTCCAATATTGAGTTTTTATACAACCGCAAATTTTTTGCGTTCATATATGTTATGTTGTCAGCTTCGTTGTTGTCGTCATCTAAAGACATCAGGTTTCCAGACAATAACTTGAGTATAAGTGTATGGATCTTTATGAAATTATACCACAAGGTTCCATATCTCAAAAGGAAGATTGGGATTGATTTTGGGGGTTATGGCCCAAACCGATTAGAAATTAAAAGCCAAAAAGGGGAAAAAAATAGGATTTTCATGTTTCCCGACAAAACTTGAGTATAAGTCATTGTAAGTCTATGGATCTCTATGAAATTGTACCACAAAGTTCCATACCAAAAAAGGAAGGTTGGGATTGATTTTGGGGGTGATGGCTCTAACTATTTGTGAAAACATGGAAAAAGAAGCCAAAAACAATGAAAAACATTACTTTTTTAATACTTTGTATAAATTGCTTATTTCTTAAGCAATTTCAATGACATTCTTCACAATAGACTTTTGAATCTAAAGGCCCAAAGCTGAATTTTAAGAAAATTTTAGTTAAATTATATCATGTATACAGGCCTGTGAAGATGATTTTTACAGGCCGGACAGAAGTTTTACAAGCCTGGGCTGATGGGCATGTGGTTGAGCGCAAAGACTGTCAATGGGGTTTAATTCAAAGTCTTGAATGTTTGGGGTTCTTTATCATGTTTATTATGCTGAATCTAACCGTGTATTTAGATTTAGGATTTTAGACCACTTTTTAAATTGGTCCACATCAAGGTCCAAAGGGTCCAAAATGAAACTTTCTCTGATTTTCAGAACATTTCACTATATTTTAGATTGTTAGAATTGAAAAATACTTACTTCAATAAAATTTCTACCATAAAAACCCAGGAATACAGCAAAATTGTTTGATTTATTTTCTTTGTAAAATATCACATACTGGTAACACCTTACTGAATACTTGGCCACATGTAAACAATATGAACATTACATACTGGTAAAACCTTACTGAATACTTGGCCACATGTAAACAATATCACTGAACTGAATATGAACATTTATTTGTAGACTTGCAGAAAGATATAAAAGAATGGAACCATTCATTTCTCCAGAAATGGATGACTTTTTTTTACATGATGTTATGTATGGCAGTTCTGACAGTGAAGAAGAAATTATTTGTATTTCCTGTGCGAGAGGACGGTTACGTCAGTCTGTTATGATGCCAAGACTTCCAAGTTATAAAGTCATTCATAAAAAGAAGGTATTATAGCAAGTAATATGTGAACGCTACATCTTAGGCAAACAAATATACATGTACATTTGATTGATTGGCAGTTTATATTTGTTAGATTTCTTGCCCAGATATTATGTTGATACTACCCCTCAGGTACAGGTATGTTCTTCAATGCTTAGTTTTAGCACGATCACCATTTAGCAAGTCTGAATAATGTGAACATGCACATTCATAACATATAAGTTGAGATACAATGTATATGTAAATACTGTGTTACTACTGACATGACTGAGAAATAGGAAGAAGAAAAAACAAAAATGGGAAAATATCATCATTTACCTAGAACATTTTGTGTAGAATGAAGATTTTTACCCTTGTTTTTTTTTTTTGTGGAAACTGTAGCAAATAGAGAGAAAAAAAAATTTCAGCAAGACAAGATATATAGATTAATGGCATTTTTGTTTTTGATACTGAATTTATTAGCAAGAAAATTAATTAAGCAAGGCTGCTATGTGAAAACAATAGTTTATTTTCGGAATACAGTGTTGTTCAAGCTTACATATGATATAACTTTGTTCTTCAAAGACGTCAAATGAATACATGGAATAATGGAAGGATAAAATGTGTTTTTAACAAGTTTGAACTTGTTATATGCTTTTTTGAACAGGTACCACCCAGTCCGATTCTGACATTTGAAGAGAGAGAAAGCCAATCAAGAATCACAATCAGCCCTAAATACTAGCTAATGTATTATGAATCAGTATAACAAAACTTTACTTGTCAGCAAAACGTAGAATATAATGAAAATAAGAAGATTTGACCCTACCTGACTTCACAATTGTTTTTTCTGCTGCTTCAGGGGTACCTATATCCGTTGGTTATGCTACACACATTGTACACAGTGAAATAGTTAGTCAAACTATTTTTATGTGTACAAAATTTTGTGGAAGTTGTTTGGTTGTATGAATAAAGTTGGGTGCATATCATTGATAAATTGATGAGGATGGACGATAACATAAACATGGCAGTTAGATCAAAGGGAAAATGTACAATTTGACGATAACTACAAATAGGTTTTAATGGCCAAAATCGCCAGTAGGTCCAAAGGAGTTATTGCCCTTGAATGATGAATTCTACCAATTTTTGAGTTTTTAGAGGAAACTGTAGCTATACTTGAGAGGGAAACTGTATATAACCAGAATGATAAGAAAAATAAGATTTAAGAATAAGTCATCATAAACATGATATAGGTAAAGGATTTTTTTGCTCTGGAATGATGATTAATTTATTATCCATATTTGTGCATTTTTGCCGGAAACTAGAAATTGTATAAATACATTGTATCAATTTTATATATACAATGTAGCAATACAGGGTCCTTGGAATTTTAAGAGTTGCAAGGTGTATGACACTTTGGTCTTTTTAACAGAATGTTGACAAAAATGACTTCTACTTCATACAACAATTACATGAAGTCTGCTCTTTGGTTGGGTTGTTGTCTCTTTGACACATTCCCCATTTCCATTCTCAATTTTAACACGTACAACTGACATTTTACATTTCTATCCTTGTAATGTCACTTGTCAGTTAAAAGAAACTGTGTCCACATTATTCATCATGTTCATTTTTGAAGAAAATCACTCGGTTTGAAGTTGTCGGGAATTTGCCAAATTAGGATCACCCCTTCTTAAATGAATACATAAACATGATAAACAAATAACAAAGTTATATAATTTTTCATGTTTTATAAGGTTGACTTTCAAAGGCATTTGGGAGTGGCAGAAAGTGAAATAAAGAAGAGATCGCTAGGAAGAGGCAGAGCTAAATGTAGACAGATTGTATCACAGAATGTTCCTCCTGTTGGAAGGAGTGTAGATTCAGCAGTAAGTATGATAAAACAAACTGTGCAAGGCTTTTCTATTTAAAATTAGTTATTCATTAAAAGATTATGCCCATGAAAAGCAAATCATGACAGCACAAGGGTGGACTGATTGTTCTCCCTGTTGAAAAAAAAAGCATTTTATACATTTGACCTTTCTTATGATAGTGCATATACAGTGGATTCATTTGTTTTCATGGGAACCAATTTTGTAGGTTTGAAGAAAAATTGTATTTTGTGGTTCTGCCAAAGTTAGCATACAAGCTGCCAAAGTTAGCATACAAGCTGCCAACGTTAGCATACAAGCTGCCAAAGTTAGCATACAAGCTGCCAAAGTTAGCATACAAGCTGCCAAAGTTAGCATACAAGCTGCCAAAGTTAGCATACAAGCTGCCAAAGTTAGCTTTCAAGCCTATAAAAAATTTATACTTCATTGAACATTTTGATACATAGTTCCTCTATACCAACAAAATCTGAGAAAATTGGTACCTAGTGAATACAATCAACATGTCCTAATGCTCATCTCAAATCTCGGCCGCCTTCCTCCAACAAATAGCTTGACTTAGTTAAAAATAAAAATGCTAATTGCAGATGATGCCCCAATTTAAACATTTTTGGTTTTCCCTCTGATTGAAGACTTTGCACAATGGTTTGTTACTCTGTCACATAGATCATACTACTTCAGGATCATAAAGTGACTTCTTTTTTTGAAACTGATAGGGAAAAGTGGTGAGACTTTAAAGAGATGTGCTTGTTCCCTCACAACACTTTAATGTTTAGTTTTTACAATGATATATCTTGCCTTTTGTATTCTATTTATTTATTTTTTTTTTGTATTGTTCAAATCATGTCTGAGAATACCATGTTACAGTACCAGTTGATTCAGATTATTTGTCATAAACAACTTTCCATTTTTACCAAGTTGATGTACATGTAACAGGTCAGCAATTTTTCATTGGGAATTTAAAGATATAGACAATTTATTTCTTTAAAAATTGTTGAAAGCATTAACTATGTAGATTGATTGTATGTCATTTCAAAGAAACAAATTTTCATGCAAACAAATATGCAAATCGAAGTATTTTTTCACTTCCGACACTCCAGGGTACATCAAAAGATTATTTTCTACAAAAGAAATTTGTTACTTAATGATAACTGATTGAAATTGCCTTAAGGTAATGGTTTATCCATTTATTGCACTAAAAACATAATATTCCTTTCCAAATCCCTTGTCAAAGATCATTTACTTTGTATATCTTAAATATGATAAAAGCGACTGAAAGTGGCTGTCAAGAAACATCCGGGCAACTAGATATCAATTTTGGCGATCAGGAAAAGTGAAGTAAGGGACAGGAAGGTGACTTTTTTTGCTCCAGTTGCCCAGTGGCAAGAGCCCTGCTGTCAAATATTACCTATATAGCTAGGAAGAGAGATATTTCAGGCCACCTTTAACAAATTCCTTGTTTGATGTTGCCTACCGGTTGGGTGGGTAGGTAGGGATTTTATTTGTTTTGGCCAACAACTTAAGTTACATGTTTTAAACAAGAAAACAACATAAGAGCAGGAAAAAATCTTGTGTCATAAATTTTTCTACAGGCTACCTTTTTATGCCCCTGCGACAAAATGTTGAGGGGCATATTAATTTACCCCTGTCCGTCCATCTGTCCGTTCGTCCCTCTGGAGTAGGATACATTGTTTGTCCGGCTATCTCCTCCTACAGTTTTGGAGGTACAGCTTTAATATTTTGTAGGATGTTCATTTTTTTGGTCAGGCGGGGGCATCATTTGTGTCTTACAGACAGCGTAACAATTTCAAGTTGTATGCCAACATCATTGTTTGTCAAATCTAAAATATGTGGAACTATACTCATGCATATGGCAGAGCAGAAAAAAAGGCAGAGGGGGGGCATTGTCCATATCTTGTTCATGTTTTGAGTTGGGTAGGTAGGCAACATCAAACAATCTAACTTTTATTTTTTGGCCTAAAAGTGAATCAAACACCATCACATTCACAGTGAACTTAATTTTTTGTACTGTATATAGTTTGTTTCGTATTCATCATTCAATATGTGTTCAAGGGTAGATAATCCAACTCTGATACTAATCTTATCACTCTTTCTAATATTTTCTTAAACATGTTTACCTTTCACAATTAAGGTATAAGTGAAATCACAATTATTTGAGTTATTAAACGATTGAATTTCATTCAATGAAGAACTGAAACAGATGATCCACACATGAATTATGAAAACATAACAATTCAATTTCCAACAATGAAAAAACAAAGAAAAATAAGCCCAAATGCACATGGAAATACATATGATTGAATTTTAGGCAATGAATAATTGAGGAAAACAAATCACACATCTATTAATGATTAAGACTTAAATAATGTATTATTGAATAATATATGCAACTGAAAAAAGCTAACCACGCATCAATTATCAAAATATGAATAACTAAGTGAAAGTTTAAATTGGTTAATAATAATTGAAATGTATGTATAGTGTAGCTGCCTGACCAGTTCATAATTTTCGTGACATGGCAGGAAGATGTAATTGAAGACTATGTATAATTCAGCATGAAAGTTAAAGTGTTATTTATCTATTTTTTATTTTCAGTCTGAAAGTAGTGCAGATGAAAGAATATATCATGTTGGCTTATCACATAGAAGTCCCAGCTGGAAAAATGAATTAAGGAAACCAAAGTCAAAACCTCTTATTCTGACATCAGATTTTCCACATTTGTCTGCAAAATCTGAAAGTGAACAACAAACTCTTGAAGAAACAAGAAAAACTGTGGATACCAAAAATGGAACAAATTTTAAAGATATGGCCAAATTTCTCATGGACTCTTGGAAGGACGAATTTACTGAAGAGGCTCAGTTTGAAGATGTATCATTTAAAGATGACAGTTTAGAAATGGACAGTAATTCATACAAGGAAAATAATAAAAAAAAAGAAGATTATCTGGAAAATAAACAAAATATTGAAATGATCTCAGATTTAAGACAGAAAACTGATGAATATTTTAACAAACTTGAAGCAGAAATGGACAACTTGAGTTTAGAGGATTTTGAAAACATTTCAGTATCTGAAGCATCTAACCGAGGATTTTCTCAAAGTGCAAAAGAACCAGTTCCACCTTTAGTTGTAGAGGCTAAAGCACAAGGTGGAATTTGGTATTCTAGTGATGAAATTTACGTTTCTAACAGTAAAAATGATGAAACTTGGACAGATTCTGATGATACAGATGTGTCAGTTTCTACCGAGTCACTTTTACCATGTGATAAATCTGAAACTACCTTGTCAACTAGCAACAAGGTTAAAGGTTGTGATATTCTACCTCATGCCAAATTTGATCTCACATTACCAGGTGATGGTATCGTTGAAGCTCAGGGAAATGTGTCTAATAATGCCATCAGTGGCAATACTCATTCCTCTTCTAGTCCTGATATTGATCATTCCTCTTCTAGTCCTGATATTGATCATTCCTCTTCTAGTCCTAATATTGATCATTCCACATTGTCATTATCAAAAACTGAGAGTGAAAATCAAAGAACTTCAGCTACTTCTGATAAAGATGAAAGTGAGATTAGTGAAAGCTTTGAAAAGATTAGTCGGAAAGGTAAAAAGAAGAAAAGAGATGTAGTGAGAGCAAAATGTTTTCATAGTAATTATCCAGATATAAATAAACACAACACTGACACAGATCAAACTGATAAACAAGTTAGCAACAAATGCAAAAAGACTAATTTGAGTCAAATGGATTCTAATGCTTGCCAACAAAATGGTCATGGACCATCAAATCATGCAGGTGTGTCATGGAAATTGAATGGTGATTCAGTTATTCAGCTTGATGGTCTTCCAGTAGATTGTGACATTTCTGTTTTACAAGATCTTATTGCTTCTTATGGAACAGTGAAAGACTTTGAAAAGAAAGAAGGATCACAGTGTTCAGCTGTTAGGTTCAGGTTAGTTATAAGGCTAAAGTAGGATCACAGTGTACAGCTGTTAGGTTCAGGTTAGTTTTAAGGTTAAAATACGATCACAGTGTTCAGCTGTTAGGTTCAGGCTAGTTATAAGGCTAAAGTAGGATCACAGTGTTCAGCTGTTATGTTCAGGTTAGATATGAGACTAAAGCAGGATCACAGTGTTCAGCTGTTAGGTTCAGGTATGTTTAAAGGCTAAAGTAGGATCACAGTGTTCAGCTGTTACGTTCAGGTATGTTTAAACTTTAAAGGCTAAAGTAGGATAACAGTGTTCAGCTGTTAGGTTCAGGTTAGTTATCAGGCTAAAGTAGGATCACAGTGTTCAGCTGTTACGTTCAGGTATGTTTAAAAGCTAAAGTAGGATCACAGTGTTCAGCTGTTATGTTCAGGTATGTTTAAAGGCTAAAAAAAAATATGTACTTGTTTCCTGTCTCTCATTAGAAAAAATAGGGTAGGTACATTTAGGTACCGTAAGCAAAATGATTTTTTTTTTTTTTTTATATAATTTTATTTAGACTATATATATACCATGTATACAGTCCGAGCTCTTGACATAAACAAGTCAGAATATTCAAAGACTCCTGCAAGTCAAATTATGCATTTTTACAAAGAAATGATATCATTTTTAGACTTAATAAGGTCAGAATGTGCCAGACTTATTTAGGACAGATTCTGTTCAGTGGATTGTGAAACTTCCAGGATTTTAATATTTGTAGCGAACCTACTCAATAAATAACCATGAATATTTGTATGATGTTTTACAGTACCAAAATCTATCTTGACATGCTGGTTTTCATATAAATCTACTAATGATACATTACACTTTTTCGAAATTTATCACAAATACATACTTACACAAAATGGTTTATTACACATGAATCCATTTTTTTAGAGTCTCATATACATTTTTTGTTGACTAAAAAGATGTGTGTGGAAAACATTTTTAACATTGTCATGTAGATGCTTATCTTTATGGGTGCTTGTCCCAAAAAGGTAACATTTTGGGGCCTTTTATAGCCGACTATACAGTATGGGTTTTTCTCACTGTTGAGGGCCATACTGTTGCCTATAATTGCTTTCATCCACTTCATTTGAACCTTGGTGGATAGTTGTCTGTTTGGCAATCATACCACATCTCCTTATTTTTATACTTTAGGTGAATTTTGACTTGTACACATGGTTCATATGGGCTGATCTATAATTATAATGAGATTATGATTTTTGAATTGTATTTTAAATGATACATGAAAACATTAATTAATACTTGATTCTCATTTATCATTTATGATATTTTATGTTTCATGTTTTGACAGATTAAATAGCACAGATGCATGTGAAATGGTTGTGTGTTGTCTAGACGATACAGACATTTTCCCAGGTAAATTATATTTAAATTGTTTTTTACATGCATTAATATGTATAATTATATACTGTAAGTTTAGACATTTTTGCAATGTTTTCATCATTTAGAAAATTGCAACAGGATAGCTTTTGCAAAAAAAACAAACTTGTACATGTTGTAGTTGTATTGTAAATTTTGATAACATCATAATGTAAGTAGCTTTTCCTGAAATCGCAATAATCAATTTCGCATTTTTGTCCATTGTTCAAAGCAGCAAATAATAAATGCAAGCAAAATTTTCTAAAATTTATAGAACCATGATATATGCATATAATATTATTAACTTTGACAAGTCTGATATCCCTCATACATGTCAAATTTTTGAATTGCTTGTATCGGATGATCTTCCTGTCTGGAAGAATTTGTTGATTTGGAGATATATCCTAGAACCTATAGCTAACTGTAATGTATTCCTGTTGACAAAGATTCTACTTATCATGCTTATTATAAATAATGTACTGAAGAACATGAAGAATGTAGAAATTAAATAGCCAAATAAGATTGGGCAAGTAACTAGATCTAGATCAGCAAATAAGATTGGGCAAGTAACTAGATCTAGATCAGCAAATAAGATTGGGCAAGTAACTAGATCTAGATCAGCAAATAAGATTGGGCAAGTAACTAGATCTAGATCAGCAAATAAGATTGGGCAAGTAACTAGATCTAGATCAGCAAATAAGATTGGGCAAGTAACTAGATCTAGATCAGCAATTAAGATTGGGCAAGTAACTAGATCTAGATCAGCAATTAAGATTGGGCAAGTAACTAGATCTAGATCAGCAAATAAGATTCAAACAGTCAATTAAGGTTGGGCAAGTAACTAGATCTAGATCAGCAAATAAGATTCAAACAGTCAATTAAGGTTGGGCAAGTAACTAGATCTAGATCAGCAAATAAGATTCAAACAGTCAATTAAGATTGGGCAAGTAACTAGATCTAGATCAGCAAATAAGATTCAAACAGTCAATTAAGATTGGGCAAGTAACTAGATCTAGATCAGCAAATAAGATTCAAACAGTCAATTAAGATTGGGCAAGTAACTAGATCTAGATCAGCAAATAAGATTCAAACAGTCAATTCAAAGTGTAACTAATAAAATCAAGGGTTACAAAATCTGTAAAGTGGTCTAATGTTGTAATGATGCCCAAAAATTTTATGGTAATAATGTCCCAGAAAATTGTACTGTAGCAGTTTGCAATAACCCAACAATAGTTTGTAATTGCTTGTTTAAAACTGTTCTCTTCCTGAATAAATGTGTTATATTTGCATCTGAATCTTTAACAAATAGCAATAAATCAGTGGATCATTACAAATCTGTCGATATGTTAAAAGTATTCAGTTAATCATGAGAATGGTCAATATATATGATATGTTAAAAGTCTTTAATTCAATGAATGAATGTTATCTCTTTCAAGGGACTCATTTTCAAATGGCATGATAAATTTCTGTGAGCCTTCATAATCACAGCAGACTGTCTTACAATTTTTCAATATTTCATTATTTACTTGTCTAAGGAATTTTCACAGAATTTATACATGTTATAGACAGAGGGAAATAATGTGAATTTGTTATAATAAGGAAATTTTTTTTCATTTCTGACCTCTGACTGACAAAATAATTAGGTACATAAGACTTTATCAAATCAATGAATGGAATATCTTCACTGACCGTGAGTGAGTGAGTGAACGACCGAGATATAACTAAAGTTATTAAAGCTGTTAAAATGGCTGTGACATTGAAGATTGATTCATTAAAGCAAAAACAAGAAAAAGCCTGTGATCATGGTGATATGTTTGTAAGAAACATGATTTGTGTGAACAATTTCATGGGTGTAAAATTGGCTAACAAAACAATATGTACCTGGACAAGCTTGATAATTCTTATTCTTTTCACTTCACAGACATGAGGCAGACTATTGTCAGTAAAATACATGTGAAATTTGACGAGAAGGAGATCCGTCTTGGTCCGTTTGATGCAAAGTTCTTTACTTGTTGTTTTTTTACGGAACTTTTCATGACAAAAGATGATCACACGGACTATTATTTAGTTGATTTGTCTGGATTAAATTTCGAAAGTTTTCAGCATCTTAGACATAGAATAAACTATGGTGTGGCTCTTCCTACTACAAGAAATCAACTTATTTCATTAGTGGATGTAGCTGCATATTTGGGAATAATTGAGACAGATTTTGAACAGTTATTTCCAGAACTTGATATACGTAAAGATAATGGACAGGAATTTGTTCCTTTGTTTCATCGCCTTTTGTGCAAAGGTTACCAATCCATGGCACAAGCATTGGGAAAGAGAGCATTGATACCGACTTTATTATTCCAGGATCCTGCAATATCTTACAATGTTTTCAAAAAGAAATGCAGGAATCAGAAAAATCTCTTAAAATGGAAATGCAAATATGTATATCCTACATGTCAATGTCCTACATGTGAAGTTGAAAAATTAAAGCATATAGAGTACTTCCAGGGAGATTAGAGAGGGCATGTGCAATGGTGTAATTTGAATTACATAATCACTAATTACTTTTAATTATAAAATAAATTATGATAGGGCTCACACAAATTGTTAAAAAGAAGAGGTCTATTTTTAACCTGGGTCTAATTCTTAAATATTGTTATCAGATACAGGATAAAAACTTCAGTGAAAATGGATGGCCTTTCTCCTCAGGAACATTAGAAAAAACAAAGTGCACATGAATTTGGAAAACTAATTAACCCTAAAAATAAATATGAATTTTAGCATATTTATCATCAGACTTATATTCCACTACCCTATTCTTAGGTAGAACATAAGACATGGATTTAGGGCGATTGTTCTTTAATCAGTTATACATTTGTAATAGACACATGTTAATGAATCCTCTGTAAGCATATATAAGAAACAAAATTTATATTGTCTGTATTGTTGAGAAGCTTATTTATGAACATGGTTGATGCAAGCGTACCAGCTATGTTCCGTAACCTTGTTTACCTTTTTAATTTTTTATTATTGAACATTTTTATTTTATGTTTTTCATGTAATTTATTTATGTTTTTAATAAAAGTTTTTTTTCACTCTGATTTGATCTTTGAAAACATTTTTATTGAATAAGACCTGTTTTGAATGAGGTTTTCATTACCCTAGAAATGTTCTTATCTGGGAAAATACTTTAGCTTACACTGGTAAAAAGTGTATCAGCAGAAAAATTCAAAACATACTTGATGATTCAGTTGTTCATTAGAAATCTCAGGACACATATTTAGCTGTCAGGAAAGAAGGTATTATTTATTCCAATATTGTTCTACTGTTAATTCAGAAAACTTTCAGATGCTTTTATTATTGCGAAAAATGTAACAGGACAGGTTTCACAAAAAATATTAAGCTGAAATTTTAGTACACATGTAGCAACATTTATTTACAGCATTTCCTGAAAGTGTAATAATTAAACTGTTTAACAATCATAGCAATATCAAAGATCAATAAATTTACATTATTTCTCTAATACATTTGATGGTTTTTGCACCAAAAGTCATTAATAAGGTCATGAAACTTTTTTTAATCATTACTTTCTATTGAGTAGTTTTGAAAGTCACTAATTAGGTGGTCTCCATGAGTGCTACAGGTAATGTGGGCTCCATTCCGAGCCAGGTCAAACCAAAGACTTGAAAATTTATATTTGATGTCCTTTGCTAAGCACACAGTATTTAGTAGTCAGAGCATATACTGATTGGTTTAAAGTCAGGATAATGTGCCCAGGTAGGGCGGACTGCCTTCTTACAAACTTTTACCTTATGTGAAGTTGCATTTAAAAGTTCTTGCTCAGCATGTTGGTCTAGCACAAGGCAGAGTTCAAATTCATCTCACATCAGCACAGGATGTTAAACACAGTCCTATCATCATGATCCTGAAACCATGAATCAAGTTCTCTCATAAAATAATGAGTAAATTTGTTTTAGCAAATTATTTATTGTGCCTGTGGATTACAATGTCCCAGAATTTGAATCATAGGGAAACAGAGGCAACAGCAATAGTTCTTTGCATAAAGCTTTATATTTCAGAGGGAAAAATACCTGGAAACCTCTTATCATGAATATATACATACACAGATGCCTTATGTTCTGAAGTTTCCATCTGGCATATGAATACTGTCCATGATCTTATGTTCATGGCTCAATGACTGCTTAAAAAGCTATAGTTGTTTAGTTAAGTGAATTTTTCAGTTATGAGTAACGAAACAACTATATTTGGTACATAGAGTCTTCACAGATATACAAGTCCATCAGACAGAGTTCACCTGACTGTGACCACATGGATTAGTGATTAAGGTTAAGTTTTCATGATAAGGTCTGGTACCAGATACTATAAACAATAGGTGAACTATATTTTGTGTATGGAATATTTTTTAAGGCGTACATGTCTGCATGGCATGATTATCTTGAATTTGACATGTTCGTCATGGTTCATATGACCTTGATCTGATCATTATGGTTTATTGGTGAATGCTAAGTTTCTATGATAAGATGTGTTTCTAAAAAGGATAATAATAGTAGAAGATCAATTATATTTAATGTTTGGTATTATTTAGGTCAACATTTATGTTTAGAAGTGTTCATCTCTCTTTGACCTCATTTTCAAGGTTCATTGGTCATTATTCAGTTTTTTTAGTTAAGTCCATTTATCATATACTCTATGCAATAGGTCAACTAATAGTTGGTGTATGGCATGACTGTAAAGTGTTTGCAAAGTGAACATGTCCATTTGGCAGTTCTTCTTACCTTGACCACATATACATGGTTCATTGAACCATGCCATGATTTTTCAAATTAGATACATTTCTCGATTACTGACAGCAATAGGTCAACTTTGTTTTTGGTTAATGGAATAATTGTTTACACATCAACCAGAAAGGGTTCACCTGACCTTGAAGATTATTTTTTTGTGTTTTGGTCTAGATGTGTTTTTCGAATACTATAAATAATGGGTTACAACATATGTTTGGTGTATTGGAGGATTATAAGTAATTGTCTTCCTTCTGTTCACCAGTCAGTTCATCCATCTGTCCAAGATCAATTATATATACATAAACAGTCAGGTGGATTGTTTAAGATACTTGACACAGTTTATGAAGATTGGTTCAAGCTTGTTTGAAATACTTAATATTACTATTCTTATGCATTATCCATGTATTTTTCAGGTGCTTCAAGTAAAATAAGCTGTGTAGTTGTGCAATGAAAAAGAGGAAGATCTTTAGTGTTTAATCAGTTTTATTTGCTTTAGTAACATCTCTCTCATAAAGATGATGGAACAAATGCATACATTTCTATAGCTTGTTTGTATGTTATTTTTTATTGTCATTGAATCTACTTATTAGTCAAGAATCAATCTGACCTTCAGGAATGTGAATGGTCACCCTCATTTCTAGATATTTGAGTAAGAAGCCCTTATGCAGCTTTGTTCATTGATCTCTTTAATGTTTTATTCAAATTTGTAAAACCTGTCCATCGTTTAAGTGTGTTGTCTTTACAAATGACACTAAGCAAAGTCTTTACAAATGACACTAAGCAAATTTTGATATTATGTTCACTTTTCTACATACTTTTATTATCACATTTGAATGTCTAACATTTATACTAAAGTTTTGAATGCTTTGCTCACCAAGTTTTTACCTCAGTCAGTGAATGATGAAAGGTATTCTTTATAACCCATTATCATTGGTAAAATTTCAAACAAAAATTGTGGATTAATAACATGTTTGAATCCAGATTTTTTTTCTGGCTTTAACAACAACAACAAACAGAATTAGTAAAAAAATAGGCAAAATAATAAGCATGATGAGGAAGATAACTGAAATACTTTGAAACCAGATAAATTTGACCATCAGTGGCCATTTTAAGCAGTTTTCGGTAAGATTAGTCATGATTCACAGCCATAATCTATAAGATATTGTATATTGTTTGACATCTTTGTATAAGAAATGTGGTTCAAATCTAAATATTATTTACATGCTCTTTGAATAAGGTTAGTTCGGCACAATTTGGAGGTTTGCATTACTTCATGAAGTTTGATGTCCTGAAGCAAATATGTATGAATATTAACGCAAACTCTGTTAAATGCGTATTTCAATTATCAAAAATATTGTCCCGAAGATTCAGACAAGGAAACTGTGGTTCTCCCCTCTTACAAATTTCAATGTTGTCAAATCAATATCGATCTTACACACAATATTGAATAAGAATTATTATTTTAGCATATATAGCCCATACAATAACATTAATGACTAAGGCACAAAATTATAACTGTGGAATTATACAAAATAAAGCAAATTATTTTAACATGTTTAAAGTAAAAAAAATTCAGTCTTGAAAAATAAAGATTTTAAAAAATACGAAAAAATTGTTAAAATACCTTTTAAAAAAAGTAACTCTTTAAATTTGAATTACAAAAACAGTAAAGTAAATTACAGTCAGTTATTTCTAGCTTAAACTGAAATCCTCAAGTCAAAAAAATTAGAAAAAAACAAATTTCATTTTGCATTATGGTTTTTTTTTTATCAATATGCAGTTCTGATAAAAACATGGATTTTTTAGATGGCAAATAGCCCTAAATATAATCACATGCATGTGATTGTTGTCTGATTTTTAAAGAACTTATACGCAAAATATCACTGGTTTTGAAGATGTTAAAAAATGATAGTACATTGAATTGAGTAATGAGATACTAATCATCAAAGGTCATTGAAAGCAATGCATTTTCTGAGTTTTTGTATGTGTCATGTGTGTATTATCCATATTTTGTGTAAATTATTTGTTCTTTTGTGTGTTCTGTCTGATTTTGTTTATTTGTTTCATTTTTGAGTTAATGAAATGAGGAGTATCTTTTTTATACATTTAGTTCAGAAATACTTTAAAAATATGTTTTCTTTTTCTTTGGATGCCTCGGTGGTCTCGTGGTAGCGTGTTCACTTTGAGTGCAACCCCGGCCAGGTCAAACCAAAGACTTTAAAATTGATATTTGCTGCTTCTCAGCTAAGCACAAAGACTGGTCAGCTGGAGGTCAGATAAATGTGTCCGGGTAAGGTGATATGTCTTCCTGCGGACTGTAACCTTGTGAACTAGCACGTTAAAAATCCGGCGCAGAGTGTCGGTCAAGTACAATCAGGGTTAAAATTCATATTTCATTAACATGTTCTCATCCTGAATATGCATATTAATTTACCTCTGACGTTAAGCAGCCATCCATCATCATCATCTTAGTTTATGAATGATTTTCATCCTATTTTAGCTCACCTGATCCAATGTTTCAAATGAGATAATTCTCACCACTTAGCATCCTTTGTCCCTGATATTTGTCCCTCATCCGTTGTGCATTTACATTTTCAAAAACTTTCTCCTCTGAAACTGCTGGGCTCATAGGAATCATTATTTTGGTATGTTGTTTAAAAATGTGTCTAGTGATTCAGACTACCAACCAACATGGATGGCATGGCCAAAAGTTAATCATAGAGGTAAAATGTTAGTTTTGTCTATTGTCTTGAAAACTGCTAGAAAGAGAACACCTGACGGTTCTATCTGCCATTTCTTTCAAAACTATCAGATAACTTCTTATAGGAGTTATTGCCCTTATATGACGAATTTTACCATTTCATATATATATGCGTATTATCTTGAAAATTGTAATAGATATATAGAATTTTTTATGAGCAAAAAAGACCAACAAAAAAGTCCCCCAATGTCGAAATCCACAGTTGACCCTTTACTGGAGTTTCTGCCCTTTAGAAAAATGTAAAAATGAAGATTTTTACTGAATTTATGTGCTTTTACCTTTTATCTGGAAAAAATACTAGATAAATAGAAACCTAAACTAGCAGAAATGATCTGTGACTTATTTCACACAAAATCTTATGAGTAATAAAACTTAAAAGACATGAACATTTCAGTAATACTTACGATCAATTTTGGTTAGTTTATGTCCTTAATGTTAATAAGACACACACCACCTAAACACAAGTCTGTTAAGGCTATTTATGATGTTTATCTTCCCTTGACAAAGTCATGGAGGAGACAACTTCATAAAA